ACACACACACACACACACACACACACACACAGAAAGCCTGCAGTACATCTTCAAATATAATTTCCTATACATTTGGACATCTCATGTTCTCTCATCACAGGGGAAAACAACTTTTGTGTGGGAGGACTTTTTGAAGGGGAGGACAGTGATGTCATAAAGGAACCACAGTTACAGCTACTGCTGCTGCACACGCAGAGTGAGAAGTTCCAACCATCTGGTCAATCATTATTCATAGCGAGGCGTAAACAGTAAAACGTGCCGCCGGGCATGTGTTGCAGCAAGTGCATGATGGAGAATGAGGATGGTGGGCTGCTAAACTGTCATTAACACCACGGTGCATCGGATGATCTGAAACAAAGGTGATGTGGTCAGATAAAGACACAAAAGTGGACGATGAGAGCAGGTTGTGGAGGGTTCAAAGACCAAAGAAGAAGTGTGGTGTCTAGTATATTTAGAAACAGGGGTGTTCCAACAGGTTCAGCAAAGCTGGGGCCCCAAACTGTGAGGGAGCCCATAGAGAATGGCTGATTACATTAATCCACAGCAACAACACTTTTCTAAGAACCTCATTAAATTCTGTGATCGGCTACATACAGAGACTGCAACGACATCCTGGATGGAATAATCACAGGCTTTCTGCTAAAAGCTTTATAACTTTAGAGGCTTGATTGATGTGTGTGTGCGTGATGTGTCTGGATGTACTGAAGACAGGAGTTCACTCTCTGCTGTGGAGGAGGCTGAAGTTTGGAGGATACAGAGGAGTATAGTTGTGTGCACATCCAGTCCTATATTTAGGCTGAGTATGGCAGAGCAGGTTCAGTGACGAGAAACAGCAGAGTAACCATACAGTGGATTTAAGCTCCTGAACAGTTCAGGTCATATCAGGTGAATAGTAAATCACATCTACCTGGAACTAAACACTCAAAGTAAAAAGAAAATGTCTTTTGAAGTTCAGGGTTCTTTATTTCTTTGTATTGTATGAGAAAATTACAAGTCACAGTCAAGCGCTGTAAATATTCTGAACGTCAAATAATAATAACACATCAGAACAAAACAGAGCAGCTTGTGTAGATTTAAAATGTGACCATACAGAATAGAAACAGCGTAATACAAGAAACAATATAAAGAGAATTTCAGAAATCCTGAATATATTTTGATATATTTCAAAATGGCTTGTTCAGCATGATTTGACATCATCACACAGCCACATGACAACACTGACAGTGTTATATCAGTATCAGTGTTGTCCCATTCAGCTGCTGCCTGATGAAGACTGATCAGATCCAGTAAAGGTTCAACCCATCGTGTGCAGACTCTCTGCCTCTGGAGGGGGCGTTAGTGTCTTGACAAGGGTCAAATTTTTCTGGACTGTACATTTACACTGTGATTCCACAGAGGACACACAGGCCATGACCTCACACATGCTGGATACCGAGCCTGCTTCTATCAGACCAACTATCCTGTAATTTGAGTATTTTGGGGTAAGACAAACAAAATGTAATCAAAGAAAATGTGAATAAATTCAACTAAATAAACTAAACAAGCATAAATAATAACGGACCTGCAGAAACGTCTCGGCTAATGAACGCAGTCCTTTCTATAAATCCTGTTTACAGCCCTATGCGGTGTGTTCATGCACAATCTGAACAAAGACTCCTCATGAGATGTGAGCTGCATGTCCGGTTTACTTCACTGTCACAGCTTTGAATCAGGAACCCCCTGCTTCAGATGTCCCTTTACCTTTCATAGAGTAGGAATAGAATGATCCTCTAATGGGTTGTGAGATAGTGAGGAGCTTGTGAGTCATGAGAGCATCACAGAGCGTCACAGGTGATGTTCAGAGAGGAGGTCTGTCTGGAGTGTGCACTTCACTGACTCTGTAACTGCGTGTGAGTCCAAGTACAAGAGCACATTTGAAAGACATTTACATCCTTCTGCAGCTGTTGACAATTCTTATTTTCATTATAACAAGCAGTCTGACAGATCTTAAATATGATGCGACACAATGGTTCTTGGTCTCTCTCCTCATTCTGTGAGTATCTCTGACACCAGAGCTGCAAGATCCAGATCTGACACTACACTCAACATTATCAACAACAACAACAACAACAACAACAACAATAACACAAATATAATAATCATAATAATTATTATTATAATTATTATGATTATTAGTAGATTTATTATATATACTTTTGTGCCTTGAGATAATGAATGTTGTGATTGGGCAGATTTTTTGGGGAGGGGGTGTCAAAGTTTATTTTGTAAGATCAACATAAATAGCTCCACTTGTTATGTGACTTGTCTTCAGCGTGTTCTCCCTCTCTCTCTCCCTCCCTCTCTCTCTCTTTCTGCCCCCCCTCTCTCTCTCCACCTCTGCCTGGCTGTCAGCTTGCCTCGACCACGTAGCAGCTTCCTGGCAGCGGCTCGTGTCTACTCTCCCTCTCTGTGGCTCTCTCTTTCACACACACACACACACTCTCGCACAGAAGACACGCACTCAGTATCAGTAGCTCATGTAGAACCACGTAGCAGCCGCTTTGGATTTTAAACCAGAAACACCAGCAGCAGAAACCGGAGCGGAACCCGGAGCGGGCATGGATCTGTTTGAATTCGACTTTTTCAGAGACTGGGAGCTTGAACAACCATGGTAAGTCCAGAACACGCTGCTTCATCCTCTTCTCTCTGTGTGTGTGTGTGTGTGT